TGCTCACCACTTTAATGCCAGTAGCTCACAAAGTAGAATTTTTGCTCACAAGACTCCACGGCTTAGAGGGAGCATTGGTCTCATCTAGTCCAGCATCCTGCCTCACACAGTGGCCAACCAGTTGCTCTGGATCGCCAACAAGAGGGCAGAGAGGCCTTCATGAGTATATAAGAGCCCTCTTGGATCAGACCAGTGGGGGTCCATCTAGTCCAGCCTCCTGCCTCACACCGTGGCCAACCAGTTGCTCTGGAGGACCAACAACAGGGCAGAGAGGCCTTCATAAGTATATAAGAGCCCTCTTGGATCAGACCAGTTGGGGTCCATCTAGTCCAGCATCCTGCCTCACACAGTGGCCAACCAGTTCCTCTGGAGGAACAACAACATGGCAGAGAGGCCTTCATAAGTATATAAGAGCCCTCTTGGATCAGACCAGTTGGGGTCCATCTAGTCCAGCATCCTGCCTCACACAGTGGCCAACCAGTTCCTCTGGAGGAACAACAACATGGCAGAGAGGCCTTCATGAGTATATAAGAGCCCTCTTGGATCAGACCAGTGGGGGTCCATCTAGTCCAGCCTCCTGCCTCACACAGCGGCCAACCAGTTGCTCTGGAGCGCCAAGAAGAGGGCAGAGAGGCCTTCATAAGTATATAAGAGCCCTCTTGGATCAGACCAGTGGGGGTCCATCTAGTCCAGACTCCTGCCTCACACCGTGGCCAACCAGTTCCCCTGGAGGGACAACAACAGGGCATAGAGGCCGAGGCCTTCCCCTGACGTTGCCTCCTGGCTCTGGGATTCAGAAGCTGACTGCCTCTGAAGTTGCAGGTTCCCTTTAGTCACCATGGCTAGAAGCCACTGAGAGACCTCGCCTCCATGGCCCTGTCTAGTCCCCTTTGAAAGCTCTCTCTGCCTGTGGCCATCACGGCATCCTCTGGCAGCGAAGTCCAGAGCTCTCAGGTGGGCGTTAATGTGAGCAGTACAAAAGGCGTAGGCTTTGCTGCCGGAGTGGGTTTGGAGAGGTAGTTAAAGTGAGGGCAAAGGGGACGGGGGTTCCAGACCCCTCCTTATCCTCTCTCCCCCTCCCTCATTCAGAGAGAATACTTCGCAGTGCTCCCAAACTGGGTCCTCAAATGCCTCGGCGAGCTACTAGAGGACGGCCTTCCCGGAGAGGAGGATGCCCAAGTCCCAGCCACGGTACACGCCCTTCCCCTCTCTAATGGACTGCCCCACCTCTGGAAGCATGGGGGTGCCCTGGCTTGCATGGGGGACCCTGAGTTGGAGCGATCCATGTTTGGTAGGAAGATGTGGTAGAGGTGGAGTTGGGTGAAGGGGGACTGGGGGGGAAACAGCCGGGTTGGGGGGGGATTGTTGGCCACAGAGGTCTTTGGAGCGAACAAGACCCTTTGCTAGGAATCATCTCTCCTCTCAGCCGCTCTGTTTGCAGAGCTGAAAGACGTCAGGGCCAAACCCAACCAGAAACTCCCCCGACATCGCAGTGGGGAGAAAGGCACCGTGGCACAGGTTGGGAAGTTCTGCCAGTGTCCCCTTCCCCCCCAGGCGAGGCTTGACTCCGGCCTCCCTGCTGTCTCCTGCTCTCTGGTAAGTGCCTTTCCCTCTGGGCTCCTTTAGGCGGATCCGGCTGCCAATTTGACTTTTAACCTGCGCCTGTCGGAGGCTGAACGCCGGGCAAAGGAGGCGGTGCCTCTCCCGTATCAGTTCAGCGAGGAGAAGTGAGTACCTTTAACCCGCCTCCCCCCTTGCTCATATTCCCCTCCGGAGTCCTCTGCTTGTCTCCATGCTAGGCTGTGCTGAGACCTTGACCCTTTGCGTCCCCTCCCCTTCCTTTCTAGATCTCTCCTGTCCCCTGGTTCAGGTCCCTCCCGTCATGGCCTTGCTTAAATGGCCTCAGCCTGTCCTAGCTGTACTATTGGGATAAGAACATAAGGGAAGCCCATGTTGGATCAGGCCAATGGCCCATCCAGTCCAACACTCTGTGTCACAAAGTGGCCAGAAATACCAGGGGCCATCA